AGGGTTTGTATAGTGTGGTTAACCCCGATCTTTGCCTAGAGCTGGCATGGCCCTGCTTAGCATTGAGGTTAGTTGAATGCTTTGTACGTTTAGTATTTTGAAATTTGGATGAAAAAACTGGCTTCGGGTGATAAGTAAAGACAATTAGTAAGACCTACTGAATATAGTGGTAATAGAGATATGTCATCTTGTTCAGCGGATCAGTTTAACCTAGGCTAGTATAGAGTGCAGTCGGAAAAAAGAGGTACATTTATTCTAGGGTCTACTTAAGTCTTAAGTGCAAAGTGTGAAAATGTTTTGTACTAGTATGTTGAGTCTCGATATCACGTAGTTCAGCATTAAAGTGCCTGACTGGACCAAAAAAAGGGTGCCTCAGTACCTTATTCAACTAAACACAACATAAACCCTTATTGTTTGGCCATTTTTTATCTTTTTAACGAGGAATTTCGCTCGTTAATTAGTTTTTTTCACCCTGGTTATGCAGGTGTTTAGAATGTAATCAGCTGGTCTGACTTGCAACTAGACTGTTTGTGTGAGGGCGTCAACGTGTCAATAGTATTTTTGGACAATTACTCTATAAACAGTCTTTTATTGGTATTTATTTTGTAGTGACTCCTTTAACTTGATGTAGATGGACTCATTTGCGGACATATAAGTGTGCTCTTGCTGGTTTAGTATCTCTGGTGAGTGTTTTTTCAGGGCGTACTGTACCAAGTGTGTCATGAAGTGTTGACGAGCAATGCATTATTATAAATATGAACTAAATTGTTTTCCAGAGTAAAAGTTCTGAGTGAAGCGCAATCGAAATTGAAACACTAGTGTTACTGACTTTGTTTTTACGCTGCGTGTGTTACAGTTTGTAGAGCTCATCCTCGAGTTGTGGAAGACCGGTGTTACAACCTCTGAAGGTAAAACACATAGGTGAGTGCACCGGCTCTTCCTGCTATACGGATTTCAAGTGCTGTGTTGAATTTATCTGTGATATATAGACTTTGGTCAAGTCATACGCTCGTGGAGGTGAATTGAGTTTTGGCGGTGCAGGTTTAATGAAGTACGCAGTTGGAAATCCGAGGTTTATTCGTAGAGATGTATAGACACTGAATATTGTTTCTTGTATCTCTGTTCTCTTTGTTGTTTTGTTGTTAGTGGTTGTGCATTGTGTATATACACAGTTTTTATGTTAGTAAATTGATATTCTAGTATCATATCATAGTCTTTATATATATAGATTAAATTGTTTTTGTCTTCTCAGCCCATCTGTTCCCTGTTATTAATATTTTACTCATCTTCAGATATCTCTTGTATATTTTCCAATAGTTTGTGTTTCCGTTTATTCTATGGGTTTGTTGTCTTTTATCTTATAGTTTTTTGTTTTTTCTCTGGGGATTGTGTGGGATTATTTAACGAAGTGGGTATAGGTGTTAAAAGGTATCGTGGAGTTTTGTTAATAAAGCGCGATTGATAAAAAGATATTTAAAATGATTTAACGCCTGCTTATGTCTCAAGAAGTATCTTAATTTAAGATCATGGGATTGCGGAAGTTGTGTACTGCACGTAAGGCTTACCTTAGGTCCTTATTGTACTGGTATTCTATCCAGTTTATAAAATAGTGTCTGGTATCCGTTTCTTCGCTGCTCTCTCTTAACTTTTTGGTTGTGTTGCTACAACATGTGAGGTTTCCCTCTGGGTATCATAAGTCTTATCTTAATGTGATGTTGTGCAGCCATTTTGCTTCGTTTCATGAGTGTAGACTGCTTTTTTTTTTTGGTTTTGTGCGGAAAATGATAAAGAACTGTCCTTCACAACCCTCAAAGTAGCAGCTTCGCATTTTTTATAAATGTGTCTTGAAAATTCGTCTTGTTTTGCTTTTCATGTATATAATAATCCTAGGTCCGGGTGTTGCCTTCTTGATATCTCCAGTCATAGCCCAGCCTCTCGGCTGCTCAGAATTCAAACCGTTCGCTCCTCCTGCGTGCTGCTCCCCAGCGATGTTAGGCCACGATGTTCAGTATAGTCTCATTTGAATGTTTCTCATTAATAAAGTAGTCAGGTGTGTGAGCTTTCGCAAGGTAACTGGATTAGTTTTCTCTCTTCTCAGGTACATATATTGAAATTCGATTGACGATTTCTGGTGTGAGTCTCCAAAGGCCAAGAGATGTTGAGGAGAAGCTTTTAGGAACGAACTGATCGTGGTTCAGCCGATACTGTAGTTATGTCTTTGATTTGGATGCTAGAACAGCTCACAATTTTTATAGCTCTTTTATGTATTCTTCTGTGTATAATACTCTCCTTATTATTCTGCTGCTGCAGTTTGCGTTCATTGTGTTTGTAAAAGGATTTTTTTTCTGCTAATCCTTTGTATACGTAGTTTATAGTTGTGTCTCATGTGGACTTGTGCTTATATAGTGTGATCCAAGAATGGGTCGCTCGCTTGGGTGTAGGAAGATCGTACGTTTTTCAAGATTTTGCTGTATTTGTGTTTTATTTTGTTATGTGTTTGTCTCTAAGGTCTGAATTATTCGTGAGTAAATTAGTTTTACATGGGGAAATTGAGATTTGGTGTGTGGAGGTGTGGTATGGGTGTGGTTTTTCTTATTTGTGTTGTAAGTTAAGTTGTAGAGGTGTCTATTATTATTTTTGTATTCATGTTACTGGTGGTTAGTAGTTTTAACGCTTGGTGTGGTTTGAATAAGCTTTTTATCAACAGCTGCCTGGCAGTGCAATGATTTTGAGTATCCTAGTGACCGTTGGATAGTACCATGACCTCGTTTGCTTAATATTTGTGATTTGTGTGGAGCTACCAATTAAGTACATGTTGTTCTTAATTGGTGGTTTAAAATGAGTGTTCGGTAAAATATCCATTATTCTTG